AATTAAATAATATTAATAACTAATAAGAAATAACTAAATAGTAAATACTTAATAGTTAACTAGTAATTTAGTAGTTAATATTACAAATTATAATATATTAAGTATAGAACCCTTTTCAGTTCTTTAAAAAAAAAACCATTTTTTCATTCAATTTTTCAATTTTTCGGGAAAAAAACCAGGGTTTTCGTCAAAACAATATTTTCTAAATGACTTCTAAAATAATTTTAATTTAAAACAATTTTTCCAAATTTTCCGAAAAAAACTGGAAACAACCAGGGTTTTTTTCGGAAAAACTTTTTTTGTTGGAAATTTTGATCCCTATTTATACATATTAATATTATTATGCCCAATTAATTTGGATAGACATTTCATGCTCAAATTTTGTCGAAATTGGATATTCAAACGTAAAATAAACTAGTTACCTAGTTATATTGCTGTAATTAAAAAAATAATATTCGTAGGGACTTAAACTTTTTGACACAACCATAAACAATGACATTTAAAAAATATTTATATTAATTTTTAAGCTATTCGTGCCATGAATCTATTAATATTATTCTACTATAAGAATTTATTTAAAAGTTAACTGCAACATTAACAATAATATAATTTTATATAAATGTATAGATAATATTATAATAGGTAATAATTAACTAACTAATACAATTTAACAATGTTATTAGTGAAATTGGATTTCTCATACCATGTTACTTATAGTTAAATTAAGTACTATTAGCAATATAAAATATACATACAAATATCCTTAGTAATATAAGAAGACGTCATCACAGAACGCTCAGAATCGGTTTTTTTTTACCATATTTCTACCTATCAATAAGTTTATTATCGATTCCACTGTTGCCTGCTCATTGGCGAGGTTCACTCGGCACTCTACTGATACAGCTGATCGACTTTTCCAGTTTTTGTTTTTAAGCAACAGCCCCATATATTTTGGTAATACATACGTAATTGAAAATAAAGATGTTTTTTTGAGAAAAAGTTGTTAAGCAAATACCGATCATTGAAGCAAAGAGTCAAGGGTTATGGTGTATAACATTTAAAGTAAATAATAATATTATACTATAGATACTATAGTGTAGTGAAATTTTGAAGGGTGTATAACCCTACCCTTCAATTGTAAATAATAGACTGTATATTAGGTACCTCAATATAAGTTCAATATTTTCACACGTTCAAAACAATTTAATGTGTTTCAGAATAATATACGAATGATTTTACAGAAACATATTACACTCAGCTGCATTATTTACACAATAATATTGTTATTTTGTAAAATTGTATATTATAATTATAATATATTATAATTATAAGTTTCAAAATACAGAGACTTCCAACAAAACATATTATAACAGGTATATTTTTTATAAAGTCATAACGTTAAAAAAAACCTTCGCCTTGTGAGACCCGATACACGTTTCACTCTATGTCCATTGTACTTTAATAATAAGGGTAAGTATGCGATATTCTGCCAGCCCTACAATATAGGTACCTATCCATCTACTCACTTACCGACCTACCCACCTAAACATGTACCCACCTGTCTACTTTCTGACATTTTTTCGAAATATTATATTGGCTTATACTATCCGTGCCTCATTGGTATATAAGTGGGTGTAGCACGCGTTATGCGTCCCTTCATATACCCGCGATGGCATCAATAACAATAATACATGCGCCGGTGTCTTCGTATAATACACATGCCTATATATTACAAAAAAATATGTGCCACGTGTGTATGCGATTTGTCAACCTATTCATATTCGTATTATTTATACGATATATGGTCATGCGAAACAAAAACGTTGTCTTATGCCGTAACAAATCACAATGAGACTCGTCCGTATATACATAATAATAATACTATATACGTTACACGATGTTTATACAAAATGTTTGGAATTACAATATACTATATTTGTATTCCGGAGACCATACCAACAACATAAATACGCTACTGTGGCAGTTTTGTTGTTAGACATTTCGTAAAGGTCGATATAAAAAAATAATAATATACGTCGTAAGATAATGTACAGAGGTGAACCCGCAGAAATTGATCTCCGACGATAATTTTTTTTACAATTTCTTCTACTTCTTCTAAACGAATGTAGAAGTGTAATGAGAAATAAAAATTACAAATATATACATGTCGGTGTGCAGAGAATACACGGTGTTACTATAAATACAATCATTGCAATTATTATCAAATAATGAGTTATTTATTTGTTATCTTGAAAGAATAATTCGAAAAAATAATTGTGATAAAAATGCTACAGAGTGGGTATTAACTTAGGTATTGTAATCTAAATTTTTATTTTTGATCTAACCTCCTAATTTTTTATGCATATTGTTTTGCTTGAGCACGTATGACTATAATATTGTTGGTAAATAATAATTTAGGGACATCACGATATACACAGATATTTTAGATTTATTGGAGATAAAGTTTTATAATTAACATAAATGTATATTATTTTGATACATAAAAATGATTTCACTGAGTAGTAAAATAGTTTAAAAGAAACTGTAAAATTATTTACGTCATAATGATCAATAATATACTTAAAATATTTTATTTGTATTGTGATATCATTTTAGTAATAATATATTTGTTATTTTATATTAATGGTCGTTTAAGATGTATTTTTAACTTAAAGTTAAGTCTTAAAACTTTTAGTTATAGGTATAGGTAGTGTTTGTACCTATTTATGATAAGCACAAATACCTATACTTCAAACTTTTGATGAGTTTTCAGTTCTCAACATCAGTCACTTAAGCTTAAATTTAGGTACTTAATATTATCATGTCTAATTTTCCAAATATAGATGTCGTTTACCTTGATTATTTTACCCGTATTGGTTAGGTTAGGTATTATATGTACAGTATATAACGACTTCTCAACTTCAAAAAAATTATATTATTCTCAATGGATTTTAATTTATAATCATAATATTTTGTTTCTCAGTACCTACCTACATATTTTTATTACATTGAGACATTATATTATATGAAAACGGAAAATAGTACCTAAATATGATCGTTTAAAATACATTTTTGCACATTATATTATAATCAATTAAATGTTTTCTTTTTTTAAATAATAAGATGTGTAAAAACAGAAAACTAAATATTACATTATTATTTTAAATGATATATTTTTAGTTGTTTGAACTCATATTAATTATACAATTAAAAACTATATTTTTACATAGTTTTTATGGATTTTAGATTAATGATCGAGTTTTAACAATAGTCAATCAGATATTAATATAATATTAGCTCATATATATATTACTATTATTTTACCACAATAATCTTGTATTATATATTTATATATAGTTACAAATTATACCTTCGATTTCAAATAAAATCCATTCTTAAAAAACAATGGGATAGAACATTCATTTTTTATAAATAAAGTTATTGTTATAGTTACTATATATGTATAGACATCTAACGCATGTAGATTTAGTGAACTTACCAAAGTTGAAATTGGAATTGAAAGTATACATCGATTTGATTAAATTGTTGGAAATTGGCGAATTGGATAGTAACAAAACAGAGCACAGTCAATTCCAACGAATTCCCTAAATCATTCAAAACTTTGTTCGAATAAAATAACGAATTTCAATGGGGTATGCTTAACCTAGAAGAAATGGAATGATCTATTTTCGAATTTAAAACAATATTTACTTCAAAATAATATTCATTCATTTTTTTGAACAAAATAAAGAAAAAGTAATTTTTCAACTGTCTAGAAGGGAACAAAATTAATATATTATAAAACATTTTAGGTATACCTACTTGAGGTGCAATATTATTATAAGTTGCACATTTCTATGACAAATCATCTTTTTCATATTAAATATTCACTACAACGAGATCTTTTATGCACCTATTTTAAAAGATATACCTACTCAATCATCATTTATTTAAAATCTAATCGTTTATTTTCAAGACTTGTTCAATAAGATTGATTAAACCCAAGGGAGCATAAACTTTCAATGTACCTACGCATTTTAAATTGATTCGTTATTTATTCATTAATTTCTTATTTAAGTCTGTTTAATTGTTGTCTTATTTTGTTGTAGTAATTAATTATAACTTAGAGAGTATAATGAATTCATACAACTTTATTTTTTATGATTGTAATATGTAAAAAAAAAATTTACTAAATTTGTTGTATTTATTAGTTCTGAATTTTGATGACTATGTTTATTAATTTATTGATTATTATTTATTAATTTAAAGATGTTTAATAAATTATTTGATTGAATATCTTAGTTGTATATATCATAATATTGTGCAATAATAGTTGCAATATATTTTCATTGTATTTGATTTTAGTATCACAAATCCCAGTTTTTAGTATAATATAATATTATTTTATTTCTTAATATATTCCAAAACAATGTTGAATATTGAGTTGTGATTTAATTTTGTTTGAAAAACTTTTGGTACGTTTTCAGATTCGCTGTTATGCATTTTAAAGTACCGTTCGTTTACCTTGTCTCGTCGTCAAACGGCAGATAATGAATAATAATAATAATAATAATAATAACATTACTTTCTCTTTTTATCTCAGTTAAATTATATCTATACAACAGTAGTTATAATATAATATTAAATTGTCTTATACATTCGTAATAATATGTTGATTAAGTAAATCTAGAATTTCATGTCTACGAGGTTAGACGCAGTGGACGACAGTCGGTTATTTTATGACGCCATATAATTATATTTTAGACATAGTGTACAGTTATGGCCATCTCAGGCCTGAGAGTTGCATGGGATTATTATTATTTTAATAGGTAATCTATTTTTCGCATGGCGTCGTATTATATCATGATATTTGGTTGCTAATAACCAAGTCGAAACTACTTCATGTTAAAACTTGGTTATAATGATATGAAAATATCGTGATGTCGTTACACATAGCGGTTATATGCGGTAGGTATAATATATTGTATCCGTACACTAACCTGAGGATAGTCGCCGTCCCTGGTCTGATAGTCGAAAACGTAGAAAAACGATTTGGTCCTCCGTTCCTTGTTCAGGTCATCGGCGGCAGGTGTCTTCGGCTGGCTGAGCATGTCGCCAGTGTGCACCAGAGGCGCCACGTACTGGGCGTCGCTCAGAGCCGCAATCGTCGCGTCCCTGGTGTTGATCGGGTGCAGGACTGTCCGTTCCCAGTCCGTGTACTCGTTGACGATGGTGAAGAATATCTCGGACAGGTGATAGCTGTATGCATTCCGGACGTACGTGCGCAGGATCTTGTCTCGGCGGTCACCTTCAAAGCCGGCCTGGAACGAGAGACGGAGCATCAGATGTATATTACAGAAAGGGATTTGAGAGAGAGGATCCGAATGATATAATAGACAGATAGTCACAGTCGGAGAGTGAAGAGGAGAGAGATGTGGGGGAGGGAAGGGTGAATGAGAGAGAGGGAGAGGAACTGTATAAAAGACAAACAGTGACACGGAGAGAAACCGGGCGAGGGAGGGAAAAAAAAGGACTTTTAAGTTTCTCGTACGACTCGGCGATCCCGCGGGAACGGGAATCGGACGTGACAGAAAAACGTGGTTGGGTATTATACGCGTTAAAACGAAATTTCCCTCCAGAGTCATTTCGAAAACACCTAAAAGAGAAATTAAAGAGACCAAAGTTTTTTGTTGTTCTACTCAAACCTCTGCCGCTTTTCGTTTCGGCCATCACAGCGTGGCGGTGCCAACGATAATGTATTATGTATTTCGTTTTCAGATTTGTACGACATTAATATGCAAACATAATCGTGGGCACGCCTATCATTAGAAATCGAATTAAGCCAGGCCGGGTAAAATTAAATGGTTTTTGAAATCGTATTCAATACGGGATGAACGCAGTTAAGGACACCTGCAACGTCGTTTTATTCGATGATCGGAATCGAATGTTTAATTCTGAAATGCTCGACCAAACTGGATAAAAATGAAAAAAAACTTTGAAATATGAGTCCGTATCGAAAAAAGTTATAGCACCATAATATACACATAATGAATATAAGTATATAACCCTTTACTTTTAGTCATTTTCTATTGACTTTTTTCTGAGACATATTATATTTTGCGTCTTTAAGGATGCAATGGACTGGATACGAATTGTACGTACTCTCAATTTTCAATCAATTTGTAGAATCGAATTATTAAAATATGTTATATTCACAAGAAATCGTATAGTTTATTATTACTTTATACAGAGCGGAGATGTACAACTTCTTAATTCACCGATATTTTTTTTAGATGGCTATAAGTCTACTATTATTATTTTAAATTTTCTGAACATCTTTTTTTAAATAAATTATTTATGTAATGCATAATATCGTATATTTTTCATAAAAATAAATACCTATATATTGTGCAATCAATATTAATTTATAAACACCCTTGGTATATTTATTTTTTGATATAATTAACTTTAAATACTTCATACCTAACTAGAAGTATCACAGTAAAAACATTGCATTAAAAAATACTTCAAGATATTTACATTGATCTTATAAAAAAGTTTTAAGTTACAAAATGAAGAAAAAAAAAATTTAATATAAAGAAAAATTAAACTAATATATTATATAAAAATTATACTATACTACTTTAAGCAATAACTTTATTTTATAATACAGTTTCTTTTAATAAACTTAAATTTATGCTCGGTAAAACTATCGAGAGTCAAAGAACACTAGTATTCTGTTTTTACAGTGAGTAGGTATTGATGTCACGGAGTTTTAAAATGTCCATATTATTTTAAATTTTGAACTTCGTACGTGATAATATTTCATCGTATATCATCTAGTTATGTTTAAACTTTAGAGTGCCATATTTTAATGGATTAAAGTCTCCGAAAATTGTAAAATACAGTATATAAAACGATTCCTGTTGAACAACCAACACATCAAAATGTCATCTTTGTCTTTAAGACGAGTTTAATTTGCTGCCTATACTATAATATTATGTCCAACCACATACGGATGTGATCACAACTATGACGACAAAATATAATACACATAGGAATAATTGTATATGATACTTTTTTTTTATCACAAAGTTATGTACATTTTAGTATTTTACCAGTGAACGCAATTTTATATCTTTTAGGGACGAAATAGAAACTCGAACCAGGGCCAACGTTACGCTGTGTTGTGGTACATTGGATTGTACCAAACGCGACGAATGGAATGGGAATCTATAGGACTTGTGATGGGCGCGTGAACTGGGCGTATTACCTGTATGTCGTTGGAGCTGAATCGCCAGAGGGCCTCGCTCGTGACGACGCCGAACAGCAGGTCGTACTTGTTGATGCCACTGCCGAACTCGAACTTCTGAAACTTTCGGGCTCCAAAAGCCACGCTGGACCCGCTGTACCCGTCAAACTCTGGCAGCAGGTTGGTGATGACGTCCTCCTGGTAGTTGCTCTTGACCACCACCCCGTCGACGCTGGGCCCGAATGCACTCAGATACGTGGGCAACGCGACGCCGGCGGACATCAACAGGTCCAGGGGCACTTCCCGCAGACAGTCCACGATCGGTTCCGGGTTGTGTCCGGTCCCGTCGGTTGTGCAGTTCACCTGCTTGGCCAGGTCCAGTGCGTACGACACGGGGTCCTCGACCAGGGCCCAGCTGCTCAGGGCCGAGCCCGATAGCAGTATCGCCCGACGGAAAAGTCCTGGAAAACGAGCACGCAATCGTTAAGTGATTAGGTATTATTTTCAATCCGGATTTGACTGTTAACTTTGTCTATATTTGAATGAACGATCTTAAACTGGATAATCGTATAACATATGTATACACGTATAAAACCGAACTCAATTACAAGTTTTGTGTTCTAATTCGATACCACATATGTATGTAGTTATGAAAATGGGTAAAACGTTATCAAAATAAATCTAAAAACATACAAAATGAATACTGATTCCTGCACGGGTTTGACATCGATTAATTGTGCATCTGTAATTGCAAGTCCAATTTAATTTTTAATAATGTTTTCTACAACAAAATTCTGTATCAAAATGTGCTGTTAGTCATCACTCATCGCAGTCTAATCCACGGTTGTCAATCATTTTTCTTCTTGTCATTTATCACCTTCAATTTTATTATCATCCCACTATGCATTTACTTATACACATATTATATCTATGATATCAAAGACGATACAATATTCTAGATTTAATTTATAATTTTATTTACAGACTTGAGATGAATTATTATTTTAATAATTATTATTCTTGTGAAAAAAATATTAATTTGACTAATGACTACTGTATTAAGTGATACAGGTTAAAATCAAATACCTTATAAATTATGATCAGGTATATTATTCCGTCCCATCCTTTATTCATATTATAGTATGTAACTTCGTTTTGTTTAATTTTACAATATAAACCTACCTATTTTGAGGTACCGTATAAAATTGGGGTAATCTAGGGTTTTGGAGAGGATTCAAAAGCTTTGGTGTAACTTTGCAGTTTATCTTTTACATATAAACTTTATAAAATAAAAATTATTTTGTAATGCTTTATTTAATTTAGTTTATTTATTATTAGCAAAAGTTGTTTTTAAAGAGGCCTATAATGGTTCAAACTATTATATAACTATTTCTAATACTATTAATATTAATAGAGCTTAATTTTGCCTACTTAATACAATATCTATTATACAAAAAAAATTTATAATTTATTTGCAATTAGATTTTGGAAAACAACTAACCAGTGTATATTATTCATTTTTATCGGTAACAACACTATTGTTTTATTTTTTAATAATTGTATTCCAATCAAATGTAAATTAAACATAGAAATAATAAAGAAGATTCTAAGTATACTACGCATTCAAATAACCATTAACATATTAGTGAATTGTATAGGTAATCTAAATTCACATAGTTGAATTAAATAAAAAGTATTTTAATGACGCATAAAATTAAATTTGAAATATTTGGGGACCATTGCTTAGAAACAACATTGTAAATATAATGAATTAATATTCAAGTGTCGGTCTTGGAAAAGGGTGTTATTCATGAAAGTATAATGAGTACCCTTTGTTTTATTGATCTAGAACACTATTACCAGGAAAGAAAATGTCATTAGGTTTAAAAGAATTGCAGCCTTGGTCCATTAAAATAATTAAATGCTGAAAACTAGACATTTTTTCAGTGTTTCCTTAAAAACAACAAATTTGAATTTTAAAGAAAAATTAATTTAAAAGTATCTTCTTAAAAAATATGTCAGTAATATTTGTTAAGTGTCTCATTCATTTATTCAATTGTTAGGCTTTCTTATAATTTCTTTTAATAGTATAATGAATAAATTGTTTAAAAGCTTTTTATGACATTTTTCTAGATCCATCATAACGGATATTAAAATTAAAGATTTACAAATGGTTGTACATTTTGTTTATGACTACTGGAATCTTATTTGTATCAAACCCTATACTGTTCGCAAGTTAAAATCCTAAATGTATTTCGTACACAATGGTATCATAATTGAGATATCAGATAGTAATACATTTATTTCCAATGACAACGGAAATTTAATAAGTACTCAATACGTAGGTACTCAATGCGTCTTTTACACTATTCTAATCGAAACATTTCCGAAATTCTTAATTTATCATAATCATTTTTTAATGTACACTGTATAACTGGAAATGATATCAACAATATCCAAGTCTAGCGCGTCAGCTATAGAGACTTATAATTATAATATTACTCTTTCACGTTTTTCCTGTAAAGGTCGTTAAAAATAACGACACTGCCGTGGCACGATGCGATTAAAATAATAAATCAATGTAATTTAATTACAATTAAATCCATTATTAATTACTTTCGATCAGCTAAAACGGCGATCGAAGTAAATCTCAAATAAGTGAGCTTATATCATGGACGTTTACACTATTCGGAAGTAAAACAAATAGATAATGACTAAGAATAGATTAAGTATATAATATATTTGAAAAACTACACTTTAGAGAACATCATGTGTTTATAGATTAATGTAGATAGATACGAGGAAGAAGAAAAACATTAGATTTATGTAGAACGGACGTGTCCGGCGGCGTTTGACATACGATCTTATATCTTGTCCGAGCACAATCTCGACCACGGATAACCAGACGTATAAATCTTTGGTAAAAGTAAACTATTTGAAAACACAATCAAAAAGACTGAGATATTCTAAACGTAAACGGTCAAATATAATTTATGTACAACGAGGTGACGATATATGGCACATCCGGTATCTTGATTAGCACAAAAATTAAGTAGGTACCTACCCAAATTACGTTTGTCCGAACAAGTTAAGAATAATTATTAAAATAATCGTCCAAACACGGACCTCGGACGTACGAGCAAAAGTAAACAAATGGAAAGCACAATAAAGAAGAATGAGATATTGCGAGAATGGTCAATGTATTTATATAATTTATACACACTCGACCTGTGAACGTTGAACAAAACGATAGCCGATAGGAACGGCGCATCCAGTATCTCGATTAGCACTGATTAAAAAATGTGATAGGTACCCAAATTATGTTTGTCAGCAGAATGCGTTCGGAATTATTAAAATAATAGTCAAACCGATACTTGTTCTAAATAATGTGTTTTACCTTTCCAATCCAGTAGAGCGTGACCGCGTTTATAAAAACTACGGTGTGCATTAAGTATAAGCAATTCAAATTTATTATAACAGACTGTATTATTCAAAGTCTACAAGCGGAATTGCGTGTATTTCCTTTTGTACCAATGTCCTATGGGGTGTACAGACGATTAGCATACAATTAATTATTATTAAATTAGCGTTCATTGAAAAAAGTTATTTGACTAATGTATTCACGTCATTATTTTATTTTATTTTCAACCCGATTTAATACAATCCTCATACAAGTTATTTAAATATTATAATAATATATAATATTATGCCAAGTATACATTAGCTGTTTAATGTTTAATACTTTAAAGTAAAAAATGTGTACCTATCGATGTACAAACATTCAAGAATCTAACAAAACAAAAATGTTGTACCAATACTTGTTACATGTCCATGTTCAAATAATATATATTATACATTTTTTTAAAATACACATAAAAGAGAAAAATTAAAAATTTAGATTTCAAGCGAAGACTTTTTTCTTATGCTTTATACTTTAACCTTTTGATTATTAAATAATATTAATGATAATTTATTCGAGTAGGTACCTAGTTCATATTATTATTTTATAAACAGAATCATATTTGTTTTCGAACTAAATATATATTTTTTTTAATCTTTGTGTTAGATATTTGTAAACTGTGTGGATAAATTATCAATAACGTATTTTATTACGATATAAACCACTCAGATTGTAATATTTTAATATATATGTTATTCACAATATTATGATAATCTAATAAAATGTAGTTATTACAAAATATGGGGCTTATTAAATAAGTTATCAACAGTTATGGTTGTCTATTGGAATTTTGTTATATTCTGTCTATTTAAAACAGACGATCTTAATTTTCAATAAACAACAAGTTACGTAATTCGTCTTGAATACGAGGAAAACAGTCAAACCCAAATCACCTGAATAGCTACAAATACATAGATATAGGAATAATTACCTTGCATCGTCATCAATGACTAATGAATCTATTAATATATTCAAAATAAACCTATGCCAACAATATTATGTTGTGTTTAATGGAGATATTATATTTAATTTATATTTAATAAGTTACTGATACTAAGGTGTAGGTGTTTTGGGTCGCTGTAAATTGCGGCCCATTTTTAATTTTTTATGTAAATTGCGGCCCGAGCATATTTTGTACATACGTAAACTGCTGCCTGGCTATATTTTATAAATACGTAAATTGCGGCCTGAGTATATTTTATACATACGTAAATTGCGGCCAGGGTATAATTTGTATTAGGTACCTACCTAAATATTTTTTATTTATAAGTAATAATTACGTCTAAGCCTTTTTTTGCAAAATCAATATTTTCCTTCTCATTTTTCAGACTTAGGACTGTCAATATAATTGTATCAATATTGGTTTTGCTGTTTTTTGTTTTTAATTAAAAAATATATTATTAGCAATTAATAATAATGTGTCTGGAAAAATGTGTATGGTTAAAAAAGTAATTATTAAATTAATTTATTATAAAAAATTTGTAATTAAGAAACTGGTAAAAATTTGTAAGAAAATTCTTGCACATAGTCTAACGTAGAAATTTTTTTTGCTTGTAAATCATACATTTTGTCATGTATAATGTTTCCCAGGCCGCAATTTACGTACATTTCAAATATACCAGGGTCGCAATTTACGTACGTTTCAAATATACCCCGGACGCAATTTACGCATGTTTTAAAAGTACATGGGCCGCAATATAACTATGACCTTTTTTGGGGGACGCAATTTACCGGCTCCGAGGAGTTATATTTTAAATGGTCAGTAAAAAAATCTAGTGAGCAATATAAAAAACGAATTCCAATTTATTAAAAATAATAAAGTGCCTGTATTATACATTATACATATTATAGAACAATAATAATTAATACAGGTCAGTGTATATTATTTGAACATGTGAGGCACTTAATTCGAGAAAAAAAAGTTTCAAATAATTAAATAAAAAATTCGGTTTCCATACTTTTTAAATAACGTATAATAGATTCAATCAATCAAAACACTAA